ATCACAGCATCAGGAAAAATAACAAGACACAATGATCTTCACACATAATTATAAAATTCTTCGACAAGGTATATATCACTAACTACCTCTATTCCTGAAGAGCATAAGAAATTTCACCTCAATGCATGCCTCTCTTAAAATGGCAACACCCTCTTATTCTTTTGGTAAGAGTACTGGGGATTGAATTTAACAGTCTCATGCGTGCCAGGCCAAGTATTCTACACAATGAACAACATACCCAGTACTCTTCAGCTTTGATTACAAAATAGGGCTTAAATTGCTTGGGCAGGTCCTGACTTTGCAATTCTCCATCAGCCACCTGAGTAGCTAACACTACAGGCCTGTACCACTAAGCCCTTCTATGATGACCATTAAACACAAATCACTGGTAAACACAATATATTCATAACCTATATAATACATTCATGATATAAAAATCTATGCATTATAGGTTAGTTTGCACCAGGATTTCAAAATACTTAAGATTTATTTCCAATAGTCTTCATGACTTTTAGTGTAGTTAAAATTTTACGATCTTTTCTTGCCAAACTAGTTTCAATCCAACATTTATTCTTGTAAGAGCTAACTTTATTTGCATTATCATGTGATTATTCATTAAGATTATGAAAAATTAGGTATCCTCAAATCACATTCGTGTTCCACCAAAGGTATTCAAGTCTTCAAATAGAACTGAACATCTTTTGTTTTTTAAGACAAGGTTTCTCTATGTAGCCCTGGCTGTCTTGTAATTTACTCTGTAGTCTGGCCTTGAACTAAAGAGATCTGACTGCCTCTGCCTCCCCAGTGTTGGGATTAAAGGCATGCATCACCATACCAGGCTTGGAACTGAACATCTGAACACCTATTATTGATAGGTCTTTCTTTAGTAAGTCTATGATTAAAACAAAACAAAATTCTGCAGCTTTCAACACTTGTTTTATACCACCATATTTTCCCAGGAGTATTTTCAAGCATTAGAAAATGGAAAGTCTAAAAATTTTTGGTAACTCTACAGTTTCATGGGGCTTTTTCTCCAGCATGAGTTTTTCCATGTCTTTGAAGCGATCGATGACATCTAAAGGCCTTACCACACTGTTCACATTCATATGGTTTTTCATGACTATGAGTTCTTTCATGTCTTTGAAGGGAACTGTGACATCTGAAGGCTTTACCACATTGTTTACACTCAAAGGGTTTTTCTCCAGTATGGATTCTTTCATGTACTTGAAGAGAAGGGAAACGCCAGAAGGCTTTACTACAGTGTTTACATTCATATGGTTTTTCCTCAGAGTGAGTTCTTTCGTGTAATCGAAGGGAGCTCTGAACTCTGAAGGCCTTACCACACTGTTTACACTCATAAGGTTTTTCTCCAGTATGCGTTCTTTCATGTCTTTGAAGAAAAGAGGGATAAATGAAGGTTTTACCGCAAACCTTACATTCATAGCGTTTCTCTGCAGAATGAGACCTTTCATGCATTTGAAGTAAATATCGAGAAACAAAGGACTTACCACAGTGTTTACATTCACAAGCATTTCCTTCAGCTTTCTTTCTGTCCAATATAAGATTACTAAGAGTGAAAACTCTACCAGGTTGCTTGCACTGATAGAGCTTCTCATGAGTGTGAGATATTTCATGTACATGAAGACTACTGAGAACGGTGAAGGCTTTACCGCACTGTTTACATTCGTGTAGTTTCTCTCCAGTATGAATTCTTTTGTGTAGCTGAAGGGAACTTGAACAACTGAGAATTTTACCACATTGCTTACACTCGTAAGCTTTTTCTTCAGTCTGAGACCTTTCATGTACTTGAAAATAACTGAATTTTCTGACAGTTTTATCAGATTGTTGACCTGCATAGGGTTTTCCTGCGGGATAAGTTAGTTCATGTAACTGAAGGGCACTGGGACAACTGAGACTTCTACTACTCTGTTTACATGCATACAGCCTTTCTTCAGTGTGAGTTCTTTTATGTATGCGAACATAAGTGAGACTCCTAAATGCTTTACCACATTGTTTACATTCATAGGGCTTTTCATCAGTGTGAGTTCTTAAATGCTTCTCAAGCAAACAAGGAAAAATGAAGGACTGACCACACTGCTTACATACATATTTACATGCATATCGCTTTCTTCCAGTATGAATCTTTTCATGTCTTTCCAGGGAAGAGAAATGAAAAAAGGCTTTACTACATATCTTACATTTATAGGGCTTTTCTACAGCATGAGCTCTTTCATGTACTTGGAAGGTACTCCAGTCTCTGAAGATTTTACTACATTGGTTACATTCAAAGGGCTTTTCCTCAGTGTGAGTTCTTTCATGTCTTTGAAGAAAAAGAGGACACAGAAAGGCTTTACTACATATCTTACATTTATAAGGTTCCTCTACAGTATGAGTCCTTGAATGCAACTGAAGGGAATTGTGACTTCTGAAGGCCTTACCACATTGTTTACATTTACAGGGTTTTTCCCAAGCATGAGACCTTTTGTGCCTTTGAAGAAAAAGGGAACAGTGGAATGCTTTACTGCATATCTTACATTTATATGGTTTTTTCTCCAGTGTGAAATCTGTCATGTGTCTGAAGTAAATATAGATAAGTGAATGACTTACCACACTGTTTACATGGATAAGGTTTTTTCTCAGGATGAGCTATTTTATGTCTTTGAAGGGAACAGTGACTTCTGAAAGCTTTACCACACTGTTTACAGTCATAGAATTTTTCTCCAATGTGACTTCTCTCATGTATTCGAAGGTAACTTTGACATTTGAAAGTTTTACCACACTGTTTACATGCATAAAGTTTTTCTCCACTGTGAATCTTTTCATGATCTTGAAGGGAACTGGGAGAACAGAGGGTTTTTCCACACTGTTTACATTGATAGGGTCTTTCTCTAGTATGAACTCTTTCATGACTCTGAAGAGTACTAGAAGAACTCAGAGCTTTACTATACTGTTTACATTCGTAATATTTATCTTCAGTGTTGGTTCTTCCATCTACAGAAGGTGAACAGGGGTCAACAAAAGCCATTCCAAATTGCTTATAGGATCTTTCACCACTGTGACTTTGCTGCTGTATCCCAAATGAACCTGGAAAACAAAAAAAGATTTTGAAAACATTTCACTTTCATAAGGTCCCCATGTATCATTGAACATTTGTAAGTTCAAGGTTTTTCTACAGTTTATACTTCTACTGTTTCTTACCGTATTTGTGTTCAGATGGTTTGTCCCCCAAGTGCGACATGATGTGTTCATTAAAGGATGATTGACATGTAAAAACTTGTCCACACACACCACATTCAAATGGTTTTACTTCAACAGAAAATTTTGTACTCCTACAGAGATTTGGTATCCAGGTAAAGGTTTCTTGAAACTGGCTACCTTCTTTATGCTCATAAATTGCATCTATCATGTACCTTCTGTAAAAAAGCATAAACATGTTAGTAGTGGTTACTTCACTAATGATTTTCTGTTAGTGTTACTAGTAGGACTTACACTATTCATAAAAATACAGGAAAGTGCATGCTTTTGCCACCTGAATAGTCTCAAACAAAATGGACTGATAATTCTACAATATGCACCCGAAGAGCTACTATCAAAATAGTCCCATACAGGATGGAGAGATGGCTCAGAGTTAAGAGCATTGGCTGCTATTCCAAAAGTAGTGAGTTCAGTTCTCAGCATCCACATAGTGGCTCACAACTGCCTATAACTGTAGTCCCATGGGATCCAAAGCCCTCTTTTGCTGTGCAGACGTATATGCAGACAAAATACCTATATACATGAAATAAATAACCAAATAAATCTTATATATACATAAAAAGCCCCAGTCATATTAGTGTTGTCTAAGTACCATTTCCAAGTGAACTGTTTTTTCATATATATAAACTGAAGTAAATGTTTTTTGTTAAAATTTTTCTAATGATAAATAAAATTTAAAGTTCTGACTTTTGTTTACTTTTTAATTTTATTATTTATTTTATGTGCATGGATGTACTGCCTCTATGTATATCTGACAAGATACCCATGCATGGTGACTGTATAAGCCAGATGAGAGCACTGGATGCCCTGGAACTGGAGTTACAGATGGCTGTGAGACATCAGATAAGTGTGAGGACTAGAAACTGGGTCCTCTGGAAGACCCAGATGTCTTTTAAATGCTGAGCCATGCCTTTAGCTCCTTTTGGTTTTTGATTGTGACTTTTCATAGCACATTTAAGAGTTTCTCAAGGAAAGCATTTTTTAGTTGTATATGCAAATTACCTTAGGTATTTCCAAGAATGTTTGTACTGCTCTCCAATGTTTTGGTCTTCCCATTTGATTCCTAAAATGCAGACACCCCCCAAAAAATATTAGAAATAATAGAATAATGAGTTTATGTGTTTGATGTACACTGGACCCATTTCTTTGTATTCACTGATTTCTCCTTTAAGTTATATTTCCAAATCATAGAACCAAGAAGCACTTGTTCCTTGAAAAATAAATGGTGGCATTCTTACCTACAGAAGTAAGATTACTGCAGGTTTCTAGCATGACATCTTTGTATAGCTTCTTCTGAGAAGGATCCAGCAAAATCCATTCTTCCTGGCTGAATTTCACAGCCACATCCTCAAAGGCCAAAAAATCCTAAAACATCCCAAATATATAAGAGAACAGATGAGACTAACAGATCTAAAGAATTTACACTCAAATGGTAAGATGTCTACATATAATTTTGTTGTATTTGGGAATTCACTCAATGAAACTGAAACTCTAGTGGCAGCTGAGATATTAAATAAGGAGAAAGGAACAGCTCTAGTTCAGCCAAGACTACACAATGAAACCCTAACTCCACAGGAAAAAGAAAAACAATAAAATAAAAAGGAAGAAAGAGAGAGAGAGAGAGAACAGCATAGTAGGAACACTCCTCAGTACTGTACCTGGGAGAGAAATGTGCTGCTGGCCACCCCATTTTTTTTTCTTTCTAGAATGTATTTCCAGTCCTATAACAACACAGTTCTGCTGAATGACGTACAGGAGAGCTAGCATTAGCAGTCAAAGAGTTGTTTCTATACAGAGTGGACTTTTCTGGTATTAGAGAACCTAAGATTCTGGGAGACATCCCACTAACACAAATGGTAACAGTAGTTCTCTTATTCTAATTGACTTACATAAACACAGCAATTTTTCTGAACTGTTGGCTTTCGGAATGTTCTGTCATCTAGAGATATCAAGAGAATCCGTCCCTGCCCACAATGATGTGCGCTATGAATGGATTTCTCTGAAAGACAACAAATACTTCATGCATGTTGTCACTTGTTAAGTGGGGAAGTGAGCCAATCCTGTGTGATTACACCAAGAGAAGTAGGACAACATGCAGAATTTATTAGAGTAAGAATGATTAATGATCCTAACAAATTAACATCAATTGAGTAAATATCAATGCAAAATGATAATGGCATGCATTTTTACAAAGAATGCAAACAAAGCAGCCATGTGTGTTTGCATGTGGTCCTAGCTACTTGGGAGACCAGTATACAGAATCACTTGCATCCAGGAGTTCAAATCCAACCTGTTATTCTACTGCTCCCATCTCAGGCTGGAAGAAGGTAGTGGATCAAATGCCACCTCTTATGGATTATACCTTTATAAAATTACATGACATTTAAAAATGTACTTATTTGTAATCACCAATGATTAATTTTCTAACTTTCTATTATTCCAAGTGCTTAGAAACGGTCAGTCTTCTAAACTGGAAAGTGATGGCTTGCCTATATTATTTTCAAACTACTCTGTAGACACAAAGAGTCAAAATTAAAAGCAAATTTTCACACTTTGGAGATTTAGTGGAACTTTATAAAAAGGGCCAGCTTAAAAAAATCTGCAAAGTTTACTATTCTACAAGATAAGGTATTCACATATCTACCTTGGTATCAGATATGGAGTACATTATACGAAACCAAGTCACTTCCACTTAACTGTTATGCAAAGAACTCTTTCGCACTCTTTCTCTCTCTCTCTCTCTCTCTCTCTCTCTCTCTCTCTCTGCTATATAACTCCCTCTGTGGGCTTACTGCTTCCCTGAAGTTTTTTAAGAAACTCTTTGTGCATGTCTTGGAGACATGCGTACAGAAGGTCATCAGTCTTCTTTCTAGATGCTGTTTTGCCCAGCATTTTGATGGCTTACAATGAAATTTTCTTCGTACCTCTGGTGTTTATGGTAGTCACCTGGAAGTACCTGGCTGAGGAGACTCTCAAGCAATGTCCAAAAGCCTAGAGTTTTTCTCCCATCAGAGGGGAGACTAGGTAGTTCTTTTGGGCCTTTCCAGAAAGATATGCTTCCCATTCACAACTGACGGACACAAGCCAAAGGAATTCATTGTTGGTATTTTAAAATATGATTGGGGATGGAGGGAGGACTGTTAACTGTTGTAGTCTACAATTTTAAGAGACTTCATTTCTCCTTTTCTGAAAACTCCCTCGCTTTCTACCTGTAAGTCTCTTCACCCTTAC